TTTTGTAATAAAAAGTAAGACCTTGTGTACTTTCGTCTACTTGTTTTATTTGATCGAATTTCTCGTACTCTTTGTACAGTCTTTTCACTTTCTTCCACATTATTCGCTAAAAATTGATTTTGACCGGACTACTATATGCTATAAAAGTTTTTAAAAATCTCCAACCGTACGTCGTCTGATAATTGTTTATATTTTTTTTCTGCATTTATACACCTCTTTTAGAGATTTTTCAGCCACCACTTTTTCGCTTTTTATAACGTAAAACTTTTCTTCGGCTTTTAACATCCTTCTATTGTTTTTTTCCCAACTCTTAGGATTTCCCTTTCTTTTTCGTGATTCTTGACCTTCTTGTATTTTTTTCCTGCCTCTTCTTTTGTTTCGGGTTTCATTTGAGGAATCAGCTGTTACGTGTTCTAAGGTTGAAGAGTTATTATTTGGTTCGCTGCTATCGTCGGAATCAGAATGATTTTCTATATCTTTACTAGGATTATAGTCGTCGGAGCTTACCTCAAAATCTTCAAATTCTAATTGCATTTCGTCGTCATCATCTTCATTACGTAATGCAGCTTCTTTAAGAGTAGGTTTACTAACTACTGAATATCCTATAACAAAAAAACAATTAATATTTTTTGCAAGTACAATGTAGGTGTCCGTTATTATTTAATGTATGACTTGTACTGGCACCAGGGGCGTGCGGTCCATGGAATCGGGGGAAGCACCGCTTCCCTACACTTTGAGATTTAAAAATAAATATTTTTCAGTTTACAATGCATAGAAATTAATATTAAATTAGGTACTATATTTTCTCTGAAACATTACGTAAACTTTGTTAATGAACTAACAATTCATTGATGTAATGTGTAAACGCACGCACCACTCATGAGAAAATTAATTGTGTAAACGCACACCATATACTTCGAGTCCGTCGGCGGAAGCGCCCCTTGAAAAGCCCGCTCATGTTACAATTGATTTCGCTTGCCGCGACAGTAGTCAGTCTGTTTGTACACGTAAAATACGGTCGAGAGGCAGCGATTTTTACGTCGCCTTACGCCTATTTCAATTCGCACCGCGAATCGATGTGTGAGGAAAATCGTAGATTTCAGATAGATTTCGGTTTGTTTTTCTTTTTATAAAATGAAGGAACTATGCACTGTGCCTGTGAGCAATAATAATGTGGTAAATTGTGTCTGTATTGTGTACTCTTTATTGAAAAAAGGATTTTCAAGTAGAAATTTTGAAGAAAAAACGGACATTATTAATTCTAGTAGACTAAAGGATCCTATCAATTTAGAGACGAAAGTAGAAAAGTCAGGAAAGAAATTTACCAGGCATTTTAACGTAGGGTTCTATGGAAAGTATGAATGGTTAACCAGCTGCAAAACTTTGAAGAAAGTGTTTTGCTTGCCTTGCCTACTTTTTAATATAGCCGAAAAAACACATTAGAACTCGGTCGGTATTACAGACTTGAATAATTTTCACAAAAGTGTAAAACGACATGTAAATAGCAAATCTCATATAAGTGCTACAATTAAAGAAAAAACATTCAGGACCTATCGCATTGAACATAGTTTGGACAATCATTTAAAAATAAGCAACAAAATTCACAATGAAAGGGTAAAAAACTAGGGATGTCTTACAACGAATAATAGATGTAACTTGTTTTCTGGGAGAGCATGAACTAAGTTTTGGGGGTCACAATAAAGCAAGTGGATCCGCCAATCGAGGAAATTATATGGACCTTCTAAGTTTTTTAGTAAAATACGATGATACCCTAAAAAATCATTTTATTGATTCGACGACTTTCCGAGGTACCTCAAACGAAATCCAAAATGAATTAATTAAATGCACTGTTGACGTTGTGATGTATCACATTAAAAGTGAAATTAAAAAAGCACCTTTCGTATCAATTGCGCTTGATGAAACCACAGATGTAGCAAACTTAAGTCAATTATCCATTGTTGTGCGATATGTATTGGAAGGCATTCCTCAAGAGCGATTCTTAGGATTTTTGGACGTCACTAGCAAACGAACTGCAGATGCATTGTTTAAAATTGTTTGTGACATTATTTCAAGTTTAGAATGTGGTTCTAAGCTTGTTGCCCAGAGCTACGATGGTACTGCCGTAATGGCTGGCCATTTAAGAGGCCTTCAAGCTAAAGTGAAAGAGAAGTTTAAACATGCAATTTTCGTTCACTGTACACTGTACAGCACATAGACTTAATTTGGTTTTATCGCGAAGCATGGATAATATTAAAGATTGCAAAGTTTTCTATTCGACGCTTAGTGGTTTGGCTTCCTTCTTTTCAAAGTCATCGAAAAGAACTCGCGCTTTGGACATTCACGTTCAAAAAAGGTTTCCAAAAGTTGCTCCGACGCGATGGAACTACAATGGACGTTTAGTGCAAACAGTGTTTTAATTCTTTGATACATTTTTTTCAAGACGTTTAGGATTATAAAGAAATATGGGATGCTGAAACTTTTACTGCCGCTAAAGGGTATTTGCTCAAACAAAACTTTGATTTCAATTTTTGCTCAACATTTTTGCAAAGATTTTCCCTTTTACTGACATTTTATTCGACATTTTACAGACAAAGTCAAATAAGATTGGCTTTGGCATTAAACAAATTGATGATTTTAAAAATAAAATGAATAAAAAATGAGATCAGTTTGAACACTTTCGGAATAAGACTCAAAATATTGGCTTAGAACCTGAAAGAAAGAGAATTAGAATTGATAATGTCGGCGATAGATAATATTTTACGACAAATGAACTTTCGATTTCAAAACTTTAACGAATTAAACTAAACTAAAATTAAATTATGGAAATTTTTTTGATATTCCAGCAATAAAGTCCCAGTTAAGTGTTGTTCATGAAACAACTGAAATTAGTGATAAAAAGACGCCCATCAATGTGTAAAATTTTCTTATAACAACTGGTTTAAATAAGTCCCTTTGTAAAGTCGTCAAGTTGTGTGAATTTAGTACTAACCATCCCAGCCACAAGTGCGTCAGTTGAGCGAAGTTTTTCAGCTTTAAAGCGCATTAAAAGTTTTATACGAAATTCAACAAGTGAAGACAGACTCTCTAATTTAGCCCTAATATCCATTGAAAAACAGCTTGTTAAACAGTTATAAGAAAATCCAAAATTTTACGACGATGTTATAGACAAATTTGCAGCCATTGAAGTTAGGCGAATAGATTTAAGTAGAAATAAATGTCAACTGCTGTGTCAACTGTGCGAAAAATGCTGGAAAAAATAAAAATAAACTTCAGTTAAATGATTTTTTTACGTTTAAATAAACCAAGAAAGCTTTTCAATGGTACGTTTTTTATAGCTTCTAGTACTAAACTAGGTAATAAAGTAATATTAACACTTCAAAAATCTCAATCTCGAATATCCGTAGTACTGAGGAAAAAGCAAGATTTTGAAAAAATGGTAAATGCGCCCCGAAAATTTTCGTCTGCGGTGCTGTGCTGACTGGCCTGCTGTATTTTTATATAATCGCTTCCCTTTCCAAAAATGTCACCGCATGCCACTGACTGGCACCATGGTTGACGACCGCCGGTTTTAGCTCTGTATATACCTTAACGCTTACACTATCGTCGCTGTCATTTTCTTACATAATATGTTTAGCAGGTTTATTACCTGCTGAATTTCCTATAACAAAAAACCAAATAATATTTTTTCCAAGTACAATGTAGGTGTCCGTTATTACTTAATGTACGACTTGTACTGGCACCATGGTTGACGACCGCCATTTTAGCTCCGTATGTTCCTTAACACTTACATTATCTTCCCTATTAATTTCTTGTGTAGGTGGTTTTGCTTTGGGTTATTTTTCTGTGCGCTTTGATTGATAGCTAAATAGAATATTCAAAATCAATCGTACTTTATATTTGTTATGTTTTTTATTTTCTTATAACACGGTATGTTATTTATTCTAATAGTTTGGGTCCACCCTGTAGCCCTGTATATTTATTTTCGAATGTTATGAAAGACATTACAGCTTTTATGCAAGTTAACCAGCCCACATGAACCAATATTGAAATCATATAAAGAATTAACTAAACTTATCAGTCATACAGGGTGGACCCAAACTATTTAAATAAATAACATACCGTGTTATAAGAAACTAGGAAACAACAATATTGTTGTCTATTAATAGCATATACAAACAAAAGTATCGCATTAACACAAGGTGGGGTGCAAAATATAGGTAAATAGCCACCTTCTGTTTATTTGGGTTCGACAATACTTTTATTATTAAAAAAAAATCTGTTTTTTTACTACTCCAAGCTGACACATATACACAATTTTTTTTTAACGTTCTGACACTTTTAACATAGTTAACAAATTATTATAAAACACTAAACAAAGAAAAACTGATTAATATTATAATTTTGTTTAAAACATAATAATACGAGCAAAACTACCACCTGTTTCACTGCTGGATGAAATAGAACTAATTCTCAAATCGTTGCGCATCACATGCGTTTGGAAGATTTGCATTATTTTAAAGGGGCCAATGTCAACTTTGGCCGGTTAGAGTTAGAGCGTAACGGTAAGAAATAATGAAAAAAGGCTAATATTAAGATTGGCACTTTTATATTAAAGTATTTTTATTCTCAAATATTAACTTTGGCCCTATTTATTTTGGTATCTTTTAAACCGAAGAAGATATACATTGGCCATTTTACCTCAATAAAGTTTGAAATAAATGTAGTGTACCGGTGTATAAAAGCCCAAACAAAAAAAAATGACATTGGCCCTTTTAGAAGCAAGCCACAAATGTGATCAAACTAAATAAAATCAACGAAACTCCATCTTTGATTTACTTACTTAATGAGAACTACTACAATGTACTTTATTTTCATTATCCTTCTTTCAGAACTGCTGGCCAATTTCTTTTCATTCTCATTTTTCAGTACGAGGAGAGGGGCCAGCAGTGTCGTTAGGTTTAAATCACGTACTGGTATATTTATGAACTTTCATTTTCCAGAATAATAAGCGATTACAAGGTCAACGGCATCTTCACGGTACCAACAGCGATGAGATTACTCAAACAAACAGATCCCGAGGGAAAATATGGATCGGAGTACGACCTGTCCAGTTTGAGACAAATGTGGTTGGCGGGAGAACACTTGGATTTCAGTACGAAATTGTGGACGGAAAGAATGTTTGGAGTACCCGTTATAAATCATTGGTGGCAAACGGAAACTGGATCTGCTATTTCTGGAATGTGCGCGGGCTTGAAAAATCCCTGTAGCGATACTGATCTGACGGTCGGGCTTCCTTTCCCTGGATATAACGGTAAGTGTTAATTGTAAAGCAGGAAATGAAGAATATTTTCATCATTTCATCTCCTGCTTTCTCTCCCGCGAGCGAAATGTTAGTGGATACGTAACTATTGTATATTTTTATTAAACAGTGAAAGTCTTAAGGAAAGATGGAACTGATGCTGATGTCAACGAACTGGGAAGAATAGCCATCAAACTACCTCTGCCTCCAGGAACCCTAGGAACCCTTTACAAGGCAGAAGAACGATTTGTAAAAACTTATTTTGCAAAGTTTTCGGTAAGCATTTATTCATCTTATTTGTCTTTTACATAATTAGATCAATATGTCTGAACCAGATTGTATTTTTTTTTTTATTTTATGAAACTAACGACAGATAACTGCAAAACTAATTCATTCATTCATAGTTAAGCCATTAATCATTGTGTTTTATATTAGGCAGACATAGCTATCGCATCGGCTGCTGCATTAGAAAAAGCTAGAAATGGCTGCTAAATTGAGTAAGGATGGTTTGTGCGAGTTTGTTTACTACGCGTTTATGCATGAACTAGGTCATATTACTATGATTCCTGATCTATATCGTTGCTATACTGTAAATACTCGGTGTACTTTTCTGTAAATCAGCTACAATAATATTTGCAATCAGAAATACATTAAACATAATAACTGGTACTAAAAAGCCTTTTATGCGTTTTGGAGCCTCATGTTTAGTCAATTACGAATTATAGTTAAATATAAACAATCCTTGTAACAAGACATTCCCATATTCTCCAATAATAAATTACCTACCTACCACGTGGATAACACCGTGAACTCTTGCAATTCGGTTTTTGTAAACAAAATTAGTCTAGTATTTGGTCGTCGTTACATAAATCCTTCTGCGCCTTCATAAATTACCAACTTAGTCATATATATTTAATAAAACAACAAAAAAGAAATCATCCTTATTTTGATTTTGTTTCAGGGTTACTACGACACCATGGACGCAGGATATGTAGACAAAGACGGTTTGATCTACGTAACAGCACGTGCTGATGATGTAATAAATGTGGCAGGACATAGATTATCAACTTTGGCACTTGAAAACATAGTACTGTCCCATCCTGAAGTATCAATGGCTTGCGTAATTTCCGTACCTGATGATATCAAGAGCGAGGTTCCATTATGTCTGTTTGTTATGAAAGACGGTAGGTAGAAAAATTTGGCATATTACTGATTTTCAATGTTTAGCTCTTGTTCAAAGATAAGGTAACTACATAAGAAGGATAGGTCTGCAACAAATATTGGACTGTGGATTCTATAGCGTGGAAGACGAATCTGCAGAGTACATTATATGTACCTGCTCCGCTTTAGAAAGAACTAAGTTGCAGATCTTTGGATTCACCCAACTGAAGCATACCGATTTTAAACAGATGTCTTGCCTCTAACGTTGTTATCCTTACTGCCACAACTAAAGTAATGAGCATTTGATTCGCAACCTATTACCAAATCAAACTTCTGGTTCAGGCATATTTATTTAATCAGATCATCCGACTCTTTGCTGTGTGATAGCATGGTTGCGTCGGAGGGGAGGTATGCAGATGCCAGGATCAACGTTTTCTTTTCCCTCTTGATGGCATATTTCATCCTAACCGCAGTTGAATCGAAGGTGGAAAAATGTGCCATTGAGTGGGCTTTATATTTCCTAGGAATTTAAATGGCTATCCTAGGTTGCTGGTTGCTTGGAAAATTAAAAAATAAACCATTTAGATTTGTTAAACATACAATTTTGGTTTTTATTGTACAGGATTCCTATTGTATATTGCAGTTCATTAAGACAACGGGCATAATGTTGCCGTAGCTACCCTTTTGTGCTGAAAGTTACATTGTATAATTTAAACCTCCTCAATTACTTCCTGATCCTCAATTGAAGTTTGGGAAGCGTTTGAGATTAGTGTTTGATCATCCTTTCTGCCGAAAGGGAAGGGGGTGGTTTAGTGCCGCTCCTCAGTATTGTAACCGATCGCAACCTTTTCTTGTCCTTGGCTGCGTCCTGTTCCTGGCCTCCTGGAGGCAGAACTAGCGTCGCTACCCAAAGACTCGATTGGGCTGCTTAGGTTGGGTTTGGAGTGAGGGCGTATCCTGCCGGTGGCAGCTGACGTAGTTCTACCTGCCTTCAGTTTAGTCTTCTTCCTCCTCTTTTCTTCAAAACGAAATATCATCTTGCCTCTCTGGTGCCCGTCGGTTTGAGGTGAACTGTGATGCCCGTCCTCGTATTTTGGAGGTGGACGTCGCTGTCCAGCCTGTGCTGGAGTCGAACTTTGCTGTCCAGCCTCCTTTGCTGGTGGTGAAACTTAACGTCCAACTTTCTTTGCTGGAAGTGAACGTTGGCGTCCAGCCTCCTCTGCTGGAGGTGAGCATTGACATCCAGCCTCCTTGAATTTCTGTGGGTTTATATCCATAAGGTTCCCACGAGTAGCTAGGGAAAGAAGGGTCGACCAAAGCAGATCACCGCATGCATCGGCAAGGCTAGATACAAGAGGGTGTCGCCAAGTACCCTCAGAGGAATGTTGGCAGCCGCAACTGCCCCTGCGACAATTCATCCGTCTGCACGTTACCTTACTCCTTAGAAGTTGGTTCGCAGTGGTAGCTTTTGCAATAGATTTTGAGAGTTTTTAGGCTCTCTCACTCTACTTATGTTTACCACTAAACAGAAAAATCCTGACCGTTTTCCTATCCACCACCCAGGGACGCGCTCAGTTGGTACTCAACCGCTGAGGTAGAACCTACACACAAAATTATTTCATAATAACCACATTAAACATTTTAATCAAGAGTATATTTTTTGTTAAATGTTTAAGCTGTATATATTGCTGTAAAAAAGCATTAATGTGTTAAATCTAGAAAACTAAATGAGCCAAATATGTTTAAAAGGTTAGGTACTATAAATCGTATAAAAACAAAACGTTTTCCAGGGGCGTCCGTTATGGACCCGTATCTCTATAGGGAGGGCCATATAAAAAAAATAGAAAAATGTCGTTAGTTTTATATCTTCTAGGGAGCTTGCCAACATATTCTAGGACATCCTATATATTGTAAACGTCTGTTTTATTAGCCTTGTTAAATTAATTATTTCAAATGAAACGCTTGCTAACTCTATTTAGTCACATGCAAAACAGGTCAAATTCAAATTTTTATATCTATGAATAGTAACTTGTGTTGGCAGTAGAGGGCGGATCACTTCTTTTCAGGTCACAATATATTATTTTCCAAACAATAATTTCATAATTATTTTCCAGAAAATTGTAAACATAGATACTTAAAATTCATATTTTGTTATAGATTCGGAGCTAAGTGAGTACATCGTAGCCAAGGATCTGGTGAATATGGTCCGAGACAATATGGGACCAGTTGCAGCCTTCAGAATCGCAATAGCTGTTAGAGGATTGCCATTAACGAGATCTGGGAAAATTTGTCGAAAATCTATAGCAGATCTTGCAAGGAACAAATTGAAAAAAGTAAGCACACATTTTCCTCGTTGCTGAAATCAATCAATGAACTTCTATTGATGGACTGATGAATTTTACTTTCATATTTTCAACAGTAGTCTGTGAAAAGTACCTATTGTGCATTTGGTTTCGTCACGTTTTTTGTCCGCACGATAAGTGAAAATTTTAGGAAAAGTTTCAAGCTCTATAAGGGGACAAAGCCTATTGATTTTGAAAAAAAAAATCTGAATAAAAATGGAGGTTAGGATGGGTTGAAATAAAAAAATCCTAACTCAAAAACAAAAAATAATATCAAATCGAAATTTTAGGCAAAAATCAAGTTCTATCAGAGGAATAAGTCGTTTGATTTAAAAAATAAATCCGATTGAATATATAGGGATTAAGGGAGGTTGAAATAAAAAAAAATCATAACCCAATAACGAAAAGCGTTATCAACATAAAATTTTTAGTACAAATCAAGCTCTATAAGAAGATGAAGTCTATAAATTTTGAAAAAGTCTGAAAAAAATCTTAATTAAAATGGGGGTTGAGGGGTGTTGAAATATTAATAAAAATCCTAACTCAAAAACGAACAAGATATCAACTTGAAATTTTAAGCAAAAGTCAGGCTCTATAAAAAAAATCTGATTGAAAATGAGGGTAAACTGGGGTCTGTTAAACTGTAAAGAGTACAATATAGAAAGCCAAGCATTATACAGGGTGTCTCTAAAAGGCTTAAATATGACGACCTAACCCAACGCCACCTTCGGTACCTTGTACACATTTAAAACGAAATATCTTTTTTTGAGCCGCTCTGTGTTTCACTTTTAAATAAAAATTCCTATTCTCCAAATTCTTTTACCTGAGAAAGGTATACGTGATAAGAGTTGATTTAAGCAACCGTTTTTGAGATTCTCGATTTAAAAAATTCGCGTCCATTAAATTTTACAATAAAAATGAAAGCAGCTTTTAATTGTTCACCCTGCAAAACCCTCCTAGCCAAATATTGTGAACATACACCAATTATTAAAAAATTAATTATGAGAAACTAAAAGCAAATTGAACTTTTAACACTATATTTTAGAAATTATCCACTTTGGGACTGAGGTAAGATCGTCACATTTAAGCCTTAGGAATATATGGCAGCATTTGTTCCGCACCTTTTAGAAACCCCCTGTATATCTTCATTCTAGTTTATAGATTGGATAGGTACTTACAAATGATTGCAGTTTAAATGTAATTAATATTGTGTATTTTAGTTAAATAATTTTATTTAGAAATCAATTCTGTAAAACAATAAATAAAAATGGAGGTTATGTGTCAATTTAAATTTAATTTCTATTATTTTTAAGATTGTACTTTTTTACAATATTTAAACACTATTGGATTTTAAAAAAATCAAAATTTGTATGTTAAAATAAATGATAGATTGTTTTGTTTTTGTTTGGCACACTGACGTCACAATAATGCATTATTAACCGATTTAATATTTTTATTAATTTTGTTAAATAATTTTTTTATTAGAATTACTTAATTGTTTTTTTAGTAAAAGTAAAATACAGATAATTTTTTTATTTTACAGATTTCCGGAACTGTAGTCGATCCAACTGTTTACAAAGACATCGAAGAAGCCCTAAAAAAATACGGATTCTGCAATGGGGTAGATTAAACCAACCAATATCATAGTTATAATAAATTAAATTAATTAAACTTCGAAGTATTACATTTTTCGCAATAAATTAGAATCCATTTTCTAGCTGCATTATTATTAATATTATTAATCCCTATTTTCTAAATTTGAATCAATTAATAATTATTGTAAATTAATACAAGTAGGTAAATGTCTATCGTGTTACTATAGAAAGCAATCGGCACCTATTTGCTAATTCTTTCATTCGTTCACAAATATTTTTTCTTACTCGTATAAAATGAATCAATTTTGTTTATGTATCCCACGCCTTGTAGCAAGTTATCTTTTAAGATTTACTTGCTTGGGAAATTTCCCACCCAGTTCGAAAATTTGCCTACCCAGTGAAATGGATTTTCCCGCTAGTAAAATATATAATAATCAGTGTTTTTCCTTTGTATGTGTATGTGACAAATTATAAACGAACATGTGTAATTTAAAGTACTATTTTATTATTTTTTAAAACAAATTATTTTAAAGACCTACGCTTCTAAAAATCTTCTTTACAAAGTCACGTTCTGCAATTTCTCCCGCAATGATGACCTATGTATTGATTCTATTTGGTTATAGTGTGATATAACTTTGTCAGTCATAGAATAAGGAGAGGTTACAGAAATACATGCAAATAGTTTTTGCAAGATGCCACTTGTACACGTAATAAGTCCTCTTAGCTTGTGGCTATATCTGTTTCCAGCATTCGCTAATTCAATTGTAGGCACATTTCGTTCGCCAAAAAGATATTTAACCATATCTATTCCAGCCTATATAATATTAGTGGGAGAGAATGCTTCTTTCATTGTGGAAATAGTATTATCATTTTCAAAATTAAATCTAAGAATTAAAAAATTAATAAACGTTAGCATAATTTTGGCTCTAACTGCATGCCTTGTTCGTTTCCCAGTTGTCACATATTTATTAAAATCTTTTCTTTTTTATCGGGTGATTGAGGCCTGTCTTCAGTATCCACTTCAATGCCGTCACAACTTTAAGTCATACAGATATTTTTCTTCTTCGCCTCCTGGATAATGCTCATTTTGTAATATTTACAGTTTCCGAAGAGCATTTTCATTAATTATGATAATATCAGGCAATATGAGATTTGTACTTTGAAATTCCTTCTGCAGCTCTTGTATAATCTCGCTAATATCTGCCATTAGTGTTGTTATCATTTACTGTAAAGAAATTTTTCAAATTTTTAAAATTCCTTTTGCAACATTCTTATCCGATTGTTCTGCTATATATTATATTTTGCAGAATTGCGGCTATTAGACAAAACGAATCTCGAAATATGCAGGAAAAAAGTTTAAAACTTGAATATATTTGCTGAAATTGTTTAAATTTAGACGGAGATGTAGAAAATATTTGGCTAACACAGTAAGATTACTAAGCCAAATTTTTATCTCTGGTATCGTATCTATTGTTAATTCCATCACCAAATCAGATCTGTGACATCAACACCAAACAGTTAGTAAACCGTACTGCATATGATTTTGAAGCAGTTTCCTGCATGAGCTGCGTCTAACGTCTAAAAGAAATTGAACTTGGTTACATGTTTAAATTATAACATCTAGTAGACCCAACGAGTTACTCCAATAAAAGCGCACCTGAATACAGCTGGTGAATCTTAAAAAAAGTACCTGATTAATACAAATTTGTTGTATTTGTTTTGTCGGTCGACGCTGCCGTCAACTTGCAAAGCAAAATATAGTGCATTTTTCAATTTCTTTGAAAGAGCTTTCATTTTCAATTCTTCGATGATTTATTGCATCTCTCTGTATACAGTAGAATCTGTGTAGTATAAAGCAGATGCAGGATGTTGAAAACAATCCAATTCTACATTCCAGTCGCTTCTATCGCTTAGCTGGGTTTGCAAAGATTGGGATATCATTGTTGTTAGTGACCGAAAAAGGCCAAGATCCGGCGGTTGGTGTTTTCAATAAGCAGTAATTGTATACGTCAATCAATAGCTAAAGATAAAAGGTGGTTTATTACATCGCCTCTGTGTTTCTTTAGAGTACGTTGATTTATTTTGACGAATTTCATGTGGTCTACAATAAAAATTCATTAATTTAAATTACGTGTATTGTGATGCATAGAGTTGCTGGCCACCCAGTAAAATGATCTTAAAAGTTCCCTGCCTTGTAGGCATATTTATACTAAATCTGGCGTGTTCAAATGTGAGACAATAGCTTTGTTACTGTAAACAGTATAAACTATACACATACTTTCGTTCACTTTTTTACAGTTACAAAAACTAGTTTGCCAATAATTATTGTGGATTAATGTCGATTCTCACTATACGTTACAGTTCCGTTCCATAATACATATGTTGCGTTATATAAAAGCTATTTAAGCAAACAGTTACGAAATGTCTTATTTTATGTACCGAGTAAATATTTGCGATACGAGCAGAGCGAGGACCCGCAACATAAACGAGTTAGATAAAACAGCATTTTATAACGTGTTACAAGCAATATGTTTTCTAATTTTGACTAGAATATTTGTAAAATTGTGTTTTGGTAAACCATTAAGTATTAACATCTAGGCAACCAATATTACTCTCTTGTATTGTTATTTGTATATGCATAATTTTATAGACAAATAGAATATCATTATTAATTAAAAAGGAAAGACTTGTATTTCGTGCAAATTTTTTTTAATTATTAAATTCCAAGCGCTTTCGGCATGGTGCCATCATCAGTGCTTATCTACAAAAATTGTGGATGTAAACTTACAATTTATAAATATGTGTAAAAATAAAATCTGAGTAAGACTTTTGAATCAAAAAAAGTTAAAAATATATATAAGGTAATTTTGAACAAATTAACAATTAAAAGAAAACAAACAGAGTGACATAACCCAGAGTTGGGAATAGTGAGTGTGGGATAAGCCCCTAAAAAATCATATCTGATCTCCAGAAGCAAGTTAGCTTGTGTGGAACTAAGGAACAAGCTAACGTTTTTTTAATAATACATTATTGGCTTTTAAACAACTGACTAATTACAGCCGCTTTAGGATAATAGACTGCTAGCAACCTCCGTTTAATTATTGGTTTAACCCAAAATAAGGTAATTTATTAGTAGTGATTAGGTTATGGTTAAGCTAGAGTATGTAACGCGCAAAAGAAAATTAAAGCCTTGCCAGTCAGGTCCTACCTTTAAGTTTCCCGGCTTCCTGATGCTTACTTCTTTCCTGGGCGCGTCCACCCTATGCTGCAGGGGTCGTGGACTGTATATTAGGGGCTGGTATTTGACGGGAATGTAGAATTACCGGTTTTGTATCTAATAATCGCAAGCTTAAACCGATCTGTATTTTACGACACTCGAGGCGATACTGATTTCTGCCCGGTCGGTCGAATTTTTACTCGTTCTTCGCCACCGCGGATATGGCCGTTTACTCTTTAGGGCAATACCGTCTTGGCAAAGTATAATATTGGGAATAATAAATATATATGACATATTACGTTATATACTGGATGATAATTTAAATTTATATTAAATAAGTGAAGACTTAACATACCCCCCACCAAAATACATAGTATTTTTCTAAAATACATTATAAAAAATAAAGAAAAAATTTACTAAAAACTGAGCAATTTAAGAGAAAAATATAAAATAAAAGCAAAAAAATTAAGAACCATGGGATTACTTGTCCACTGCGGGGAGGGGACACACAAGCGAACCCTCAGTAGTTTTAACAGTTGCGACTCTCGGTATTCCATCAGAACCGAGATGAATTCTAATAATGCGCCCTCGTCTCCATCGGAGAGAAGGAGTATTATCCTCTTTAATTAAAACAAGATCGTCTACTCTTACATCAACTCCCTTATTAAGCCATTTATGGCGCTGCTGAAGAGTATGCAGATATTCTGCGTGCCACCGTTTCCAAAGATCCTGCTGCAACCGCTGCAACAACTGCCAGCGGTCCAGGCGGTTGATATTCACTTGAGAGAGGTCAGGACTCGGGACAGAAGTAAGAGGTTCAAGGGTTAGGAAATGTCCGGGGGTTAACACTGACAAATCTGAGGGGTCAGAGCTTAATGGATAGAGCGGTCGAGAATTTAAAATAGCCTCAACTTGTACTAGAAAGGTATAGAATTCTTCAAAAGTGAGAACTTGGGATCCGATAACTCGGATAAGATGAGATTTAACCGACTTAATCCCAGCCTCACTAAGTCCATTAAAGTGCGGCCCAGATGGGGGAGAAAATGAAAAAGATATTTTTTCAGAATCAGAAGCATCTTTCATCAGCTGATTCAACTCGCGTGATGCTCCCAGAAAATTGGTTCCATTATCGCAGAATATTTTTGAGCATCTACCGCGTCGAGCGACAAATCGTCGTAGAGCTGCAATGAATGAGGCACTAGAAAGACTGCTAGCAAGTTCAAGATGAATTGCTTTGGTTGCCGAGCAAATGAACAGACAAACATATGCCTTGTGAGTCTTAATACCACGGCCTTTAAGAGGAGTAACAAAGAACGGACCTCCGTAATCGACCCCCACACATGAGAAAGGTTTAATTTTATTGATACGAGATAAGGGTAAGTTTCCCATAAAAGGCTCATAAGAGGTAGGCTTTATTTTAAAGCAACGATGACAACGCGACAAGACATGGCGTATTGCCCGTTTTGGAGACAAAATCCAAAATTGTTGGGACAGGAGAAAATGGAGATTTTGCAATCCGGGATGAAAATGTTCATTATGAAAGCATTCAATAATTAAATCTGTGAGACGATGCTTTCGAGGAAGAATGAGAGGAAATTTTTTATCGTATGATAAGCCTGAAAATTGGAGACGACCCCCCACCCTAAGCAGACCATCCTTATCTAAAAAAGGATTTAGTTTTCGAAATGTTTTAGAAAGGGTGTTACTATTTAATTGATCAATTTCATTAGAAAATGAAGTATACTGAATTCTTTTTATTAACACCAAAAGGGCTTCATGCAAATCAGTTGCTGAAAATGCGCCAGTGCGCTTGGGCAAATGTCTTTGAGCATTATGGACAAAGCGTAGGACATAGGCAATTATTCTTTTAATTTTGTTCAAAGATGAATACTTCTCTAAAAGAATATCC